GATCTGGATATAAGTGAAGGAGTCCGGTAAATACTTGATGATAAATATTTCTTAGACATTTGCACTTTAGGGAAATTGATTTTATATCACTAAAGATAGGGAAATCAGTCAGATAAGCCAGTCGGCAGATTCTATTTGATGTATGAGTCGTTTATACGATGGCGCGGTATTAAATTGAAGTGGTATACAATTCCGACAACTTTTTCGAAAACATCAGTTTGGCGTTGGAGATAATTCTTCGTGTAACATTAAGCAGTCTTTGACGATTTCCAACTTCCGAGGCACTTCAGATTCAAGGTCCGTTCCAGCATTTACACGTAAATTTGAGCAGGTTCGGCAAAAATCATTTCATTTATCAACTTGGCATAGTTTTGAATCCCATATGAATAGAAGAAAGAAATGGCCACACGAGTTTTATGGCAATTGCCAATCAGGTAATCCATCAGAAGTGGCAGGCCTCCTTCTCTCCCGCATAACGAAGCCGTACCTGCCTTACATTTTCATTAGCTAAATAATGTTATTATTCTGTCTACCGTTTCGAACCGTTACGCACATTCCGGTCAGGTTGAAAAAATCGAAATGGAACTAGAGCTCGTATTCACCCACTTTTCGCATTTGTTCGTCAACTGATTCATAATATGCGATAATCGTAGTCCCGTTTTGTGTATTTGGTGTGAAACTTATGTTCCCAACCGATCTGTGAACATTCACATTTATGATTTTAAACTCTTCATTCTTATGTTATATTGCTGGCCGATCTGTTGGTGTTTTTAACTTTAACACGCTTTTATTAGCTTCACCTGTATGTATGTTTGTTTGTAACTCTCAAGCTTGGGATCTGTATTTGACAGAACTATCGACATTATTGCTTGAACTATTCGTGGGCAGATGGCACTGTACGTAATCTCCTTGATGTATCGATATTATTGCTTGATCTATTCGCGGGTAGATGGCGCTGTACGTAACCTCCTTAATATAATTCGAACTCACTTTACATCTATTTCTTCATTTGAAAAAAGTCTTTTTTATTAACACGCGCGCCTCCTTTGCGCGGCTGCGCAAAACTATAATAAACAGAATAGTCGTTTATTTCTTCAGGGGGGTGTAATACATAGTGATTCTTGATGATCGCAAGTTTGTTATCACAAATAATTACTAATCCAATCGCTCTTGAAATAATTTTTGATGCCTTATTGACGACAAAGTTGTAAATGATTAAATTCATGCAAGTGCAAATCCTCTGATACCAACGTTGTACAATTTATCTGATCATAATTTCATTATTTACCTACTGATTCAAAAGCTTTCGCTGGATCGAATAATATTGATACTACATGCTTTCCCCCATCAATATTATTGTGAATGAACTCAAATTTTCCAGCAATAGCTGTTTCAACCGATCTGTCTTTTCTAAAGCCATGTTGCTGATCGAAGAGGGTTTTTTATTCATCAAGAAATAAGACAATTCTATTTACAACTATTTTTTCTAGTAGTTTTCAAGGAACACTTCATAATGAAATTTGGCGATAGTTGCCAATATCTACTTGGGAAACTGTTTTACATATTGGTATAACCTTTCCAGTTTTCTAGACTTCCAGACAGCTTGCCCGTATATTACTGGTTTTCCAATAGCCCGACTATCAATTTTGCACCAGTTCTGACACGCGTTACTACATGTCTGGCAACCACGTTATTAAAAAACGTATTTGCTGCCGTACTTGGAAAGTAAAATATATTGGTGTAGTAGGAACAACCTCCATTAGAAGAAATAGTCCGTTACTACTATGATATTTGCCGTTGTCAGTCAAATGAGAAGATTCAGGTGTGCTGGTCTGCCGCTACTCTCTTGAAGATGATGTTGTAGGTAAATTCTTCTTTGACTTGTAGATCCTTTTTTCGAAGTACTAAAGTCGTTACAATACGCACAGCAACAGTTGACCCAGTAGTATCTCTTTGAAACGCTCGTCAGGCTCCTAGATGCCGAATTGTCCTGCTCAGCTATTATGGAGTTGTTCCAGCACATCTTTGACCTGTGCTCTTGGTACGGCCAGCTGGTGAACCTCTGTTTATTTGTTTGGGCTCTCCCTCTTACCATGCAACATTCCATTGCGGAGTAATAAAACATCTCGTTGAGCTCAGTAAGCCTTTGCAACTACACCGTTTTTAGAGACTCGCTACTAATCGTGTCGGGCTTCGAGCTAACTTAAGATCTGTTAGAAGATCCATTAGAAGAAATAGTCCGTTACTACTATCAAATATTTGCTGTTGTCGGTCAAATGAAAAGATCCAGGTGTGTCTGCCGCTACTCTCTTGAAGAAAATGTTGTACATTCTTCTTCGACTCCTTGTGTATCCTTTTTTTCGAAGTACTAAAGTCGTTTACATCGTTACTCCACTCACAGCAACAGTTAACCCAGTATAGTATCTCTTTGGATCTCTCGTCAGGCTCCTAGATGTCAAAGTGTCTTGCTCAGGTACTACGGAGTTGTTCCAGCACATCTTCGACCTGTGCTCTTGGTACGGCCAGCTGGTGAACTTCTGTTGCTTTGCTTGGGCTCTCCCACTCACCATGCAACATGCCATTGCGGAGGAATAGGACATCTCGCTGAGCTTAGTAAGTCTTTGAAACTGCACCGTTCTTAGAGACTCACTGCTAATCGTGTCGAGCTTCGAGTTAACTTCAGATCCATCATAATTGTTCTAACGTATTCCTTGTATTGTTACGATTGAAACACGTATCGGTTGTCCAGTTTCTTCATCTTTCGGAGTTGCAGCCTCTGAACTTCTTCTTTTGTTACTAGGGTCCTTGTTTAACCTTATCGGTAACTTACTCAAATCGGTACAGTGTCGCTTCAACTTTGATGTGGTGTTGGAGCATGCTGTCCCGCTTCTTCATTTCGTTGATATCTTCTGCGAAAAACGTAAGACCACATGCAGCTGCAGCATCTGTCAATATAGCATGTATCGTCAAGAGGCGTAGTCACAAGACTTGCTGCATTGCTGTGACCTTTAACTCGTAGATCTATACTCGCATTTTCTATACAATTTCTTTTGACGCTTGGGGATATGCCAAATTGATCAGTCTCTGAATATGATTAGTCTCTGAATATAATATACTCCTGGAAGACTCGTGGTTATTGATGTCTGCTTCTTGGTTAGCAGTATTATATTTGCTTCAGTGCCTGGCCTGTCAGTGCCAGTACATAGGCAGTAGTGTTTTCTCTTCCGTCAGCTGTTTACATTGGTTGCCGTTGTTTTACACGATGGGTTGCTTTTATTTTGAAATATTTTCAAGTTGCTTAGGGAAGCAACAGCTGAAAGAAGTTTCTTCTTAGGTTAGGTTAGGTCCAAAGTGAGCCAACCTTGGAAGATTCTGCCAAAGTCTATGAATCTTCTTGCCATCCATGTATTCAATATTTGTTTGGTAAAGCCTAAAGCGATGACAATGACAGGTTCTGCTTGCAGAGGAGGCTGTTGCCTCCCTTGCAAAGGCTGCTGACTCCCTTGCAAAGGAGGGTGCTGCAAGAAGCCTTCTTCTTAGTTGAATCAATTCGTAGCGAACATTTCAACAGAAATGTTGGTTTTTGAGGGGTAGTTATCGTTCTTTCATCTCTGGTAGTGAAGATGCATTGAAAATGTAATCACAAACATTTTGATTCGTTCGTTAATTGAAAAAGTACACATTTTTTGTACTCTTTTTTCTTTTATTTCGTCTGAAACAAACTATAAAGCCTAGCGCATTGCTAATTATCGTATCCACTGAATATACAGAAAAAATGTTGGATAACCTACCAAAGTCGATTTCTGTAAGTGTATTTCACTGTACGATAATTATTTGCATTGATAGTTTACTTGTATTTGACAAATACCAACCTGTCGCAGACACGTTATTACAGTTATAAACCATTCCATTATTTATATGTACCTAATTAAGAAGTGACTTGTGTCGTGTGATTTCTAATTTTAAACGAAAGGTATTTCAATTTCTTGATTGTTAGTAGAAAGTCATTTTATCCAGTTCCATGACACTGTGAATAAAAGAATGATTTTAACATAACTGGATGTAGAAAACACTCGTAATCTGTTCATAACCAAATAGGCAAGCTGTATAATTTCAATTAATTGATAGATGTAGCTGTGTCATTTGAGTGTAATTTGCAGATTGGCTCACTTGCGCTAACAAATAGTTTAAGAGTTGTAAACAATTTGGTTGAACGAAAGAAATAGGTGTTGCAAACATCTCACGATCTATTCTATATAAATATTAAGGAACCTTTTATTTTCGAATGATTTATATTCTCGTCTTTTATATTATGAAAAAAAAATTGTTTTTCTGATTTTTCATTCGTTTATTTGATAAACAATTCATTGTGAACAAGTCACAGTTTTTAAATTATTTTTGCTTTATTTCAAAACGGTACATGTTTATTTCTTTTTAATTTTTTCCACTGAAGAAATAGAGTGAAAATGTATTTGTTTATAACAAATTGTTAATCGAAAGATTAATGAAAGTCAGAAAAAGTAGTATTTTTCACAGAATTCAAAAGAGCAGCAATAGAATTTTGTTAACGATTCTTTTAAAATCATCACTCACAAAAAATTTCCATTATCTCATAAACAATGCATTTGTTTATAAAAATATTTCAACTACATGAATGAGAAATAAAAAAACAATTTAAGTTGACTTTCTTCAAGGCTGACACAAATCGATTGGAATATTTGAAAACAAATTTTTTTCGATGATATATGTTTTTCCATTTTTTAATGTTGTTGATTGTTCGTAAATAAATGAAAAAGTGATTTTTTTGAGTAGCTCGGTGGAGACTGACCCATCACAAACAGTGTTTTGAGTCCACAGGTTGGACTTTCTATTTTCACTACCCATCGTCCAAACCGTGCTAGAAATCATACGTTGAATTGTAAGACCTCGTTAATCCTAGGTAATACCTAGTTAACGAAAGAACAGATTTCTACAGATTCCAATAATTGTTTTTGTTGTAGGCATCGACAATCGATGGACGAAGAAAAGGCGCTTGTCTCTTCTGCCAGGAATATTTTATGGAACTTTATCTCCTAGCAGAACTCAAAACTATCAGCCTCAAAGTTACTACAGTCGATATGCAGAAACCTCCTCCTGATTTCCGCACAAATTTCGAGGCCACGCCCCCTCCCATCCTTATCGATAGAGGAATGGCCATTTTGGAGAATGAAAAAATTGAAAGGCATATCATGAAAAACGTACCTGGTGGACACAATCTATTTGTTCAGGTAAGTCATGATCAATAACCACTAACCGGGCATAGTAACATTGTAAGTCACATTATTATTATTATTATCATCATTTTTATTTTTTCACTCAATACAGAACATGTAAGCAAAGCTTCATTTCATTTAATGAATTACAAAAACAATTTATATCTTTTAGGCTCTATAACTTACATTTGAAAAGCAGGCTTGTTTTTATTCATTCATTAATAAAAATACAAATTCATTATGAATATAGATCTGTGTTACTGCTCTACTCAAGCAATCTCAATCGACGGTGTCACCTGAAAATGCTGTTTAATCCCTTTGAGGTATAAAACAATTCACTACGTATGGTTGTTCTTCATTCACTGGTCTACAATGAAGTTAGCGATTGCATATGTCTATCTTTCAAGGATAGTTTACCAATGTTTAAAATAATGGTCTCATGTAATGTGATTAGCATTGATTCGCTCAACTTACTGTAAGCTGGCGATATAGCTATACCTAAGGTAAAGTATAACTTAAAAACAGCAACGTCTCAAGTATTGAGAGATATCCTCCTTTCTTCCTTGGGGAGCCTGGGTTAATGACTGTCCCCTTAGAATTAAAACATTTGTGCTATAGGTGGATATAATTTATTTCTTGTGAACATTTTGGTATTGTTTACAATTTTACAGTTAGAAAAGTAATATCTTCTTACATTTGACACTTTGTGGCCTTAGGAGCTCAAGGCTTCCTGCCAGTATTGTAGGGGGAGTCCTATAATAACGGTTGATGAAATGTATACACTGACACGTAAATCAGGGTATTGGTTGACAAGTTTGAAACCAACTGAGAAAGGTGTAGATGTTAGAAAAAGAAATAATAAATATTTTAACTGGATTCGAGTTTGATTCAATTGGTTACCGTTTAGAGTAAATTTCCCGTTTTTGTTATGTATACTGTATAAGCTCCAGGGTTGATAAAGCGGGTGGCACTCTACCCTCCATCTCACCCAAGCCCTTCTTCACTGTTTAAAAGCTGGCGGCCTACCCTGGGAGCTATGCTCTCTAATCCCTAGTAGCCACTCTCACGCCAAGTTGTGAAACAACGAGGAATCGTTTAGAAATTGACTTAATTAGTCAAAGAGAAATACAAGGCGTAACAACGCATCTATCTTTGTTTGGGTTACTTTGTTTCTTGGATGGATATAATATAGATACTATTAACAACCATCAACTGCAAAAGTGACTAATTTTCAAAAATCTAAAAACCGAATACCCATATCATTGAAAAACGAAAAAATAAACTGTTCTACTTCGTTTTTCCTCTCTCCTTACTTGTATCTCTCTATTCATTTGACATGAGTTGAGGAAGACTGAACTTAGTCTCTCTCTCTCTCTCTCTATTCATTTGACATGAGTTGAGGAAGACTGAACTTAGAATTATATTTTTGTAAATAACACTGTGTATCATGTTATTCAAAGACTAGTAAATATTATCATTGTCGATATTAAAGAAAAGTGTTGAGAAATGCATAGACCATCCACAAATGTTTCCTTTGGAAACAAACACCAAGCTTCATAATGAGACTTGAAACAATCATAATGAATAAAATGTTTTTGACATTCCCTTTCTGCAAACAATAATACTATTTCGTGATTGATTTTGCAGGATAAAGAAGTAGCCACTCTGATCGAAAATCTTTACACCAAATTCAAGATGTACGTGCGCAAATACGAATCGCCAGATACTTCGGAGAGTAGACAACCACTTCTTTCCCATTTGGAGCGCATCAACGATTTCCTCGCCAAAAGAGGAACCAGATTCTTGACTGGAGACACAATGTCCTGTTTTGACTGTGAATTGATGCCTAGGTTTGTATCCATTTCATTCAATCAAACTCTACAGGTGTGAAGTTAGCGGCCATTTTTCAGCGGCTGTTTTCATCTAATGGCCATAACATCAATGACACCAGGAATAATTGAAAATTGAAATTTGTTAATTCAGTATACATATAAGGTAAAACACAAGTCGAAGTCTGAGTCGTCACTGAGATTTAGAGATATAAGCTTCGTCTTCGGAATCAACGCACCCACCACTGATGATGGCTGTTGGGGTAGGAGACGAAACGTTTGTTGCTCTAGGTTGCATTCGACCAAGGTCTATCACCCCGGGTTTCGTTGGGTTCAATTTCCCACTTCTTCTTCGCCAGTTTCCGGAACTTTTCAAACAGTTCTTCAAATTATCCGGCATTGTGGGAAATAAATTCATGGCTTTTGTATGACTATAATGCATCTGCTCACCAGTCATTGCTTGTTAGTAATTTTTTGGCCAAAAACAACACTGTAATCATGCCTCGGCCACCGTGTTCACCAGATTTGGTGCGACTTTCTCCTGTTTCCAAGATTGATTGGAAAACACGATGACATAAGTGTTTTACATCTGAGGAGAACTAATTGGAAGGGGACAAAATAAAAATTGATGATTGAATTACTATTTCTTGAACAGATTATATAGGAAAAAACGATTATTTAGAATTCGTCACGAACAAAACTTTCTGAATCTTGAACTAAATTTTCAAAAATTCCTGTTATATCCTTTGAAAATATTTGGTCGAATTCATTATCCATAAAGTTACTGACTTTGGCTGATAATTTTATTTGGGTCTTCAAAGAATGATTGAAAATTAATGAAAAAATATAGACTAGTCTTTAGATGGCTCCATCATGAATCATCTCTTGGTATATTGTTCTTGTTGATGCAGAAAATGTTTAGAAGTTAATTGAGACAAGTGTAAACCATTACATGCCTTAACCAATCTGTTGTACAATTTTATTTTGATGTTATCAGTTTTCCACTGATAATTCAGTTGCTAGATAAAAACTTACGCTGAAAAGGGCCTGCTTACTTCATAATTAATTTTTTAGAAATCATTAAAATTATCTAAACCTTGTACAGAAATTCTGAAATAACAATGAACATGCTGCAGGTGTAATTGTGTGATAAACCTTTCGTTAAACAACCAGAAAACAACAAACACGCAGTTTAAAGTAAATAGTTGATGAAAATAGCAGCAAAATAAAAGGATTCGTTAAAATATTTCTGCAAATTGAAATGAGGTTTATCAGCTGTAAAATGTTGCATATTATGTAGGTTTTCGAATCTTAAATTTACCATTAGTATAACATATAGAATCCACGAGTAGATTTGAAGTGGATTTGGGGAGTTTTAAATTAACTTCCATCAGTGAGTGGGTTGTAATTTAGATTCACTTTATCAATTGGCAATTTGTTCCTTAATTAACCTCACCATTATAAAAAATGAAAACTGCAGCGGTTCAAAATTCAGTGAAAATCATTTCATTCATAATTATCATACAAGACAAAATTTCAGGAATTACATCCAAGTAGACTAAAACCGGAAATTGGGAATCGTATCTTGCATAACTGTGTAATAATTCATATTAGGCTGTCAGCCGAGTTTAAAAACATATCTAACATTTGTTAGATGAATAGTATTTTTACATTTGTCAATTTGTCTTTGAACATGTTTATATATTTCACATATATATTTTCCTCAACATGAACAGCCATCTTCTCCGAAGATGACGAAACACGTATCGGGGTTTTGTAAACTTTCAAGGGGAAACCGCGACACGTGTTTGACTATACGCTAGCATTTTCGGACGTCACTGTATTGTGAATTTTGCGACGCCCGAAGATGCTATTGTATGGCGAAACACGCGTCATAGTTTTGTAAAGTTTCAAGTGGAAACCGCGATACGTGTTTGACTATACGGTAGCATCTTGGGGACTCACAATATTGTGAGTTTTGCGACGCCCGGAGATGCTATTGTATGGCGAAACACGCGTCATAGTTTTGTAAAGTTTCAAGTGGAAACCGCGATACGTATTTGACTATACGGTAGCATCTTGGGGACTCACAATATTGTGAGTTTTGCGACGCCCGGAGATGCTATTGTATGTCGAAACACGTGTCATAGTTTTGTAAAGTTTCAAGTGGAAACCGCGATACGTGTTTGATTATATGGTAGCATCTTCGGGCGTCATAATATTGTAAGATTTGCGACGCCCGGAGATGCTATTGTATGTCGAAACACGTGTCATGATTTTGTAAGGTTTCAAGTGGAAACCGCGATTCGTGTTTGACTATACAGTAGCATCTTCGGGAGTCACAATATTGTGAGTTTTACGACGACCGAAGATGTTGTTGTATGGCGAAACACGAAGTGTATTTTTTGAATACGCTATAATGGATTTTCATCAAATATCGGGTCAGTTTTATCATATTAAGTGTTTACATTTCGAGGCGACGAGAAATAAAATGTTTGCGTTGCAGGCTACAACATATCCGAATTGGTGCAAAAGCCTTCCGCAAGTTCGAAATTCCCACAACATTCACTGCGCTCTGGACTTACATGGCCAACATGTACGAGTTGGAGGCGTTCATTCAGAGTTGCCCCGCCGATCAAGATATAATCAGTCATATCAAGAACCAGCTCGGACTGAGAACGACAGCGAGGATAGAGCTCGAAACTCCTGTGTATTCTACTGCCATTCCTGTGCTTGCCGAATCGTAAGGCGAATATTTTGAAGAAGGGTCATTTCGTGAAGTTGTAGTTATTGAATTTATATTAGAATTGAATTGGTATTCACTTTTATCTGTAATTTTTCAGTAAGTACTTAAAATTGAATTACTTCTTCAAAGCTTTCAGCTTTGAAAACTCCATTATGGAAAAAAGATATTGATTTTGCAGCGCAAACAAAGAGTGATTTCATGAAATAGACCCTTCAGAGTTGCTTTTCATGCTATTTTAAATTTAGACCTAGTCAGTGAAAAAAAACTCCAAAATTTTTTCTAGCTGATTCCACACAAATCAGTACGTAATATGTATGTAAAAGCATTTTATACAATGTGATGAGAAATATTTATATATACCAGTTGTTTCTTGTACATATGCTATTTCGGTTCGTAAAGTTTCAGTTTTGATTATTTTAATTTATCTAGCTGGATGTAAAAATATTTGAAGAGCAATCGCTTTTCTTCATTTGAGTTGTGTAAAATTTGAAGTTTTCTGTTGTTCTGGAGTTATTGTACTGGAATAATTTTTTAGGTGTTCTTTGTATTTTTAATAACCTTGTTTATAACCAAGAGAACAATCCATAATTAATAAAGGTGTAAAATATTTATAACACTGTTTTTCTAATCTTTTTCAAAAAGGAAATCTGTTTACGAAATACTTAGGACTATAATAATGATAATAAAATGCTTTATTGCCCAAAGAACCTCAGCTTTTGTTGACAAAGCTGCAAATTTTCTTCAGTCATCCAAGAGAACAATCCATAATTAATAAAGGTGTAAAATATTTATAACACTGTTTTTCTAATCTTTTTCAAAAAGGAAATCTGTTTACGAAATACTTTAGGACTATAATAATGATAATAAAATGCTTTATTGCCCAAAGAACCTCAGCTTTTGTTGACAAAGCTGCAAATTTTCTTCAGTCAATAGTAGAGTCAATACCTGAAATTCTTAATTTAGATTTCACAAGAAAATCCAATCCTAACTCGATCGTTTTGATGCCTTTCAGGGATGCAGAAATGTCGATCATAATACAAAAACTCAAAAATAAAATGTCTACTGGTCCTGATGAAATTCCCACAGTTATTGTGAGAGAATTTGGCAAGGACTTGGTTAGACCACTTGCACATATAATGAACCGCTCTCTAGAAACAGGGATATTTCTCTGTCATATGAAGTCGGCAAAGATAACTCCAATATACAGTGTCACACATAAAGTCCGCATCAAATGGGATTTTTTTTTGTTCATCTCTTCAAGCAACTTTTGATATCTCCATTAGGTTGTGCTTTACATATTTTTATTGATTTCAACTGTTTGGTCTTTAAAAGAACCGGGTTTTAGGATTTTGTCAGCAAGTTTTTGCCCTATTTCATAATGTCGATAATTCTGTCAATGCAGATCCCGAGCTTGACAGTTAGAAACAAACAAACAAATAGGTGAAGCTAATATAAAGCGTGTAAAAAAGTTCCATTTTTCGTTCTTTCAATGTTTTATCTGTCTTCTTCCGATCTGTCATTGTCACTTTCCATAAGCATGAATTCTTTTGACCCGCGATTTGATTGAAATAATATTCTATAGTTATTCTGTAACTGGAGTGTTTGGGAATGGTTTAGAAAGTTCGGGAACACTCTGGAACACCCCAGATAATTGCGAAACGATCAAGAGAGTTATATGGTGAGGTAGTCTTCTATCCTTATGCAAAAAGAAGTTGCTGAAAAATTGGAAAGGGTATAATTTTTAGAAGAAATTAGTTTTTGGGAAAGAAGCTTAATGAATTTCGTGCTCTTTGGTGTTCCCGTGTGTTAAACGTTCAGATCTGGATATAAGTGAAGGAGTCCGGTAAATACTTGATGATAAATATTTCTTAGACATTTGCACTTTAGGGAAATTGATTTTATATCACCANATATGAGCTGTAATGAAAACGTCAAACAGACTCTCCTGTAGACCTCTATTTGTAGAGTTGAATATCCTGCCATTAGTCTGCTTATATCTACTGGAGAAGATATGTTATATCTACAGATCCAGAAATACACTTCCGAGATATAATGATGTACACCCGTCAAACTAGAGCTAGCTTCTATATCTATACCAGGCTTGACAATCTTGATCTGGTGTCAAAGGGACCAATTTCCATGAGTATAAAAGCTTACAATAAGTTGCCAGTAAATATTAGAAATGAGATCACACTATCCAGATTCCGAAGCTCCATTAAAAAATATTTACAAATTAATTTGTTTTACGACCTCACTGAGTATTTTATTATGAATCAGTAGTGAATTAGTGTATGTTTTTATATATTTGTGATTGTGCATATTGATTGTACAACTATAGGTTTCTTTTTAAGGATAAGAACTTCTTTATTGTGATTGACATGTTCTATACCCAGTAGGATCTCTGAATGAAATATATGATTGATTGAAACACATATCGAGTACATGCAGATATAGAGTATATCTGCACAAATATGAACATATAATAAACAATTTTATTCAAACACATATGGGTACTGAATAGGGAAATTACACATTAATAAAACCCTCCCAGAAGAGTTTGAAATGTTGAAAGTGCAGTACAACATACTTCATCTATAAATTAAAACTGAAATGATGAAATAAATTATAGAAAACTAGCCTCATAGAACTCTTCTAAAGTATAATAGGGTCTACCACATAGTAAATCTTTTGCTGATTTCCGAAATTCACAGTTATCTTCTAAAATTTTAATATGGCCAGGTAAACGATGGAACATCTCAAGATAATTATAATTTATGGAGATTTTGATTAGAGTAGAGGCTGGTATGGGTTATCTTGGTCATTGGCTTGACGAACGGCATAATTATTGGAGTTGCCGGTCAACATCAGTTTATGTTTGTTAATCAGATTGTTTCAAAATAAAAATTCCAAAGACTCAAAATTTTATATAGTTCAAACAAGGGTTTGCAAGAGTCTCGACTTTTGGCATTGCTCATGAATCTTGTAGCTCTTTTCTGTAGAATGAAAACAGTCTGCAATTGAGTTTTGCAACATACTCCCTAGAGGGGAATTTCATACCTTGAATGAAAATCAATGAGTGAATAATGAGCCGATTTAGCGGCAAACAAACCAAGTTCATTTTAAGTTATTCTCACTGCAAAACACCCTGAAGCTAGCTTTTTATTGAGGGTTAAAATGTGATTAGCGAATTTGAGTTTATTGTCAATTATTACCCCTGGAAATTTAGAACTAAGTCGGTTTTCAGTCATCTTGTCTGCGTCGTTTATTGTTAATGGTATGCTGTGGAAAAAGCAGCGGACTGATATTAGGTTTGTTTTGGAAACATTAAATGGCAGCAGATAGTCATACTAGTTTTCATTTTTTTTTCAATATCTGAGCCTATAATCTCGTGGAGATTACATTAATTTATTACGCCATAATATTGTGGTATCATCGGCGAATTGGGTGAATTTTCCTCCCATATTAATAGATGTTGAATCGTTTATTAATAAAAAGAAAAGTATCGTTCCCAGTATTGAACTTTGTGGTACGCCATTTTTTATTTCGCCTTCTGATGAGGTTTCCTCAATCTGACTTCTTCCTATGAGATAATTCTCGAACCATTTATGAGTATTTCCACGGATGCCATAGTGGTAGACTTTTCAGCAGTATTCTGTGACCTTCATAGTCGAATGCTTAAGCAAAATCACAGACCACAGTTGTTGATGACTATTTTTGTTAATGTTTCCATAAACATTGAATGACAAAAAAAGATAGCAACGTGGGTGTTCTTTTGGATTGAAAGCCAAACTGGCTATCGCTTATGATGTTATTAAAATTATTTGAAAAATTTCTCAATCTTATTTTAACCAGTAGTTTCTCCAGTAGCTTGAATAGAGTCGGAATGAGACATATAGGGCAGAAATTTAATGGATCACTGAAAGCACCACTTTTGTGCAATGGGATAACTATACATTTTTTTAGATAGAAAGGGAGTGTAACGGTCCCGAAGGATGAGTTTATTAAGAACGCTGGTGCATTTAATGTGGTATCAGAAAGGTTATATAATTTTTCTGCTGTACAGCAATAGCACTTGCTTGTATGTTGTATACTAAATCATGGATTTAAGGAATTAGGAGTTCACGCAAAAGTAAATCAATTCTATAGGGTATGAAGTGTAGGGTTATGAATATAAAAAATATGGGTGTTCGGTTATGGAATTTCAGGATCAATTTTCAGGTTCGGGGTTAGGGATGATGAGTTTTCTCATTAGATTCATTTGATGTGAGACATTACAATGCTATATATCAAGTTGAGTTATTTCAAAAGTTTTGTTGGTTTTTATCAAACAATATTTTGTCGGTTTCCTCACCATAGGGCTCTGTGATGGTTTGGACCAGTTGTAGAAAGTTATAGTGTCCTGTTGTCGTAGAGAATCCAATTTTTATCACATGTGACAATCCAATTCTAAAAAGGATAGTTTTGGTTGCGCAAAAGCAAAGAACAGACCCCAATATGTGACAGTTTCGTAGGTCACCCACCTTTTGAGCTTTTTGACCTCTTCAATACATTTTGAACCATTGAAAACCGCATTTCAGGTTTCATCTTCAAAGTTAATATCTCAGGAACGAAATTTAGCAAACCAACATCAAACAGTGCAGTCATTAACACCATCATTGCCAAATGCCTGGTTAATTTTTCGGGCTGTGTCGGCAGCTCTTTGGTTCTATTTGGATTCGTAGAGAAAAATTGGCCGAAAATCTCTTTTAACGTCTTACTGAAGATTTATGAAATGAAGGATCTTGTTTTCTAACTTTCAAATCTCATGTGACATGACTCGACAGTACTTTCAAATTCAATAACAATATTGCAATCAGTTATTCCTTTCACTTGATCAAACTAATGTTCATAATTATTGCTTTGCCACATTTCTATTTGATATGAGCTGATTCCTAGTTCATCTTTGATTTCAGAGATCACGGCTACTTATAATTTAGGAAAAGATTCATTTTAGAATCAAGAATGTTCATTATAATTAGGTATTTCGTTTTGTCATTCATTTATTGCACTGAAATATTTTTTCCACTATATTCAAGTGGAGGAAATCTACATTGATTCAGGATATAACTGGTTTCAATTTACACTGAATCAGTGTAGATATTTATTCTCTATCCAGGAGTACAAAATACACTATGACTCACACCAATCATTGACCAAGTTATATGATAAAAGGAATCAAAAGTTATCTTTTTGGAGGAATACTGCAGGTAATTTTCTAACAATGGCTCTCCTGTAAAATGTAGTATGGTGTCTCATACTTGTGGAGAACAGATATATCCTTCAGATTTATGAAAAGCTTTTTTTTGCTTGAAAGGAATCAAGTTCAAGGGTTAAGGAAACAATGAAAGATACCTCAAATAAAAAATTAAAATTTAATTCAAAGATTTTGATATGTTGTATGAATTCATAATTAATACAGAAATGATTGGTCATAAGGACGAATTCCTAATAAAAAAAATTAGCCCTAAAATTGACGTTATCGATATAAAGGTTTACTTGGTTTCACTGGAGTTATATATTTAATTCGTTGTGAATAGGCCTTTGGCGGAAGGAGAGAACATAGACACATGTTGGTCATCAAAGCTGTGAGTCCCCATATTCGTCGTTTACCACCAAGAAAAACAGGTAAAGATGCCGAATTCCTAAACTGAGTATATCCTAAGAAGGCAGGGTTACATAAATCCTCCAACGGTACAGTAAAAACTTCTTCTACTTCCATTGGGTTGATTTTCAGTTCTTTAATGTCCAAGTTGCCTCTTATTCGTCCTATAACAGGCATAACACAAGTCTCTCGTTTTGTAACTATTAATTTACCACTTCCCCATATTTCTATTTGATCAGAACTGATTCCCAGTTCTTCTTTGGTTTCTCTAAGAGCTGTATCTTCTAGAGTTTTGTCTGAAACATCTTGCATCCCACCTGGAAAACTAACTTGCCCTCTGTGCGACTTTAAATGAGCTGCTCTTAGTGTGTACAAAACGGACACTTTTTCATTGACTTCACAAAGAGGAATCAAAACTGCTGCCTTTTTAGCTGGTTGATTAGTGTTCATTCTCACCGGTTTCATGCTAGCAAACTTTGCAATGGTCCTTTTCATATTTTCTTCGCTAAAAACGTTTTCTGCTGAATACAAACTTGAATTCCTGGATCCAAGAGATTTTTTTACTATCAGGCGTAATACAGAAAACATGGTAATATATTAATCACATGAAAATTTCTATTTCAGCAATTTTAACAAGCTGTATTAATACTGACTCATTTTTCACAAAGATTCAGATTTTTCAGGTACATTCTGGTGACAATTGGAAATTATTTGACGTGATGAAAAGTGATTCCATTGTTATGCAATTTTTGTTTACGTTTTGAGTTGACAATTTGTTCATAAATTTACAAATTTTCAATATTCACAACCATTAGAATTAATTTTGAGGTTAAAAAGGCTGACGAGTGACGAGACGGTTGAATCACAGAGATGGTCGGTAGTTTAAGAACGGTATTTTGGAACGCGATTTTATGATACCCTACCACAGAACAGTAAACCGTACCGTGGGCAATTCAAGAATGTTACACGACGGTATTTTCATTTTGCAATAGACGGTATCGCAGAGTATCGTATCGAGTCGCGGTGTCTCAGTATATTGTACGGACATGAATTATTTGAAAATAGTATATGAGTTATATGATACTGTTTTATTCTCGTTCGCGACCAGAACGATCCAATAAAGTAGTGCTATTTCCCATCTCTATCACAAATTATGCCACAGACATAAAGTTCATAAACACAGGACAGACAATTGAACCACAGAACTCATATATTTTACAATTATTATAAGGCGCTAGGTGCGTTTATTTTAACAAATCATATGAAATAGACATAAAAATCTGATCCATATTTTGAAAGTCAAAGTTGAACGTTGTCGTTAAATGTATGATGATGATGTATGTCGTTATATCGTTATTCCAAGTGGTGTTTACTCATGTTAAAAGTTATCACTTTGGTTATTTGTAATATTATAAAATTATATTATTTTCTTTCGAATCGTTTTTATTTATCGTATCACGATAAATCATTTCGTAAAGAAATGTGCTAATTACACAATTGTTGCAATAATTTTTTCAATTTTCCGTATTCTACGTACTCATGTTTAATGTGCCATCACTGTGAATGGAACATTTAGCGTTTCATCGGTTACAAATTTGCCTTCTTCGAACCGCTTTCACGAGATATAATTATGAGTTCTGTGAAGTAAAATCGTTTCGTTTCCGATTACACCTGGGATGACGCAGTTCTGTCATTCGACATATGAATTGTAATCGTATCATCACCATCATAGAACAAAGATCAACGATTCATATGAGCACCGAGCATGATTCTTTATCGAATACAAATTTTGTAAAGAATATATATAGTTACTATAAAGGAATTCATAAATTCATGGGAGAGCCCATCGATTGATCGAATGGATTCATTCATTGGTCAATTCGAAACATTAGCGTTTCTATCGATTTTAGCAATCCACCGATTTTTTCAAAGTGAAGGGGCGATACAGTGGTCTATTACATCACAAGTTGATGCTGCATGTTTGGGGGATCATTCGATTCCTCAACAAGAAATGATTTTCATAATACTCAGAAACGATCAACTTTTCATTGGTTTTTGATATGCTGGCGCGTCAACATTCACATCTTCACGACGTCCTGTGAAAAGTTTGTACTATTTGTAAACATTTTTCTGACAATCACCGTATGCCACTGTCAATATTTCAAGTGTTTTGGGCACTTCAATCAATTTTTTACACAAAATTTGATGCATTCTTTGATCTATTTTATTATAACAGAAAAAACAATTTCAAGCTTTACGCCAACAAAATAAACATGCCAAACAGCTGAAACTGTGAACATATGTTCGAGACGAGTGTACCAACATAAAAAATCGCTAATCGAATGTAGGTAACCCGCGAAATTTGAACATTTATCTCATTTTCTGAACGTAGAAAGGGTTCTCACCATTCAGTGCAAATTTTACTGTTAGAATCACCAGTATAATGTCCAAATATGTCTAATTCTTACCTCTGATCATTGTTTGCACAATCCTGCCACAAAAGCAATTGAATAATTTACTTATTAAATGATACCTCACTCCAATTTCAAAATTTCTGAAATTTCTTTGGTGAGATGTTTGGGATATTAATAACAAGTCTTATTTCGAATAATTGTAAAACAGTTTATAGTATTTAACAACGTAACAAATTTTACTTTTCATTTTTTACGTAACTCTGTCTTTTGATACTAATAACTTCTCCACCATTTTAGCCCTAGTTTCCAACAATTCTCTTTGAACTTCAGGTATTTTGTCGGATTTTAGATTCCTCAACAGGAAGTGGTGAATGAATAATCGAAGACTCTCTCTGAACAATTTCAGTTTGTCTGATTGAGCAACTTTTGCAAAAACAGCCAGACAAGATTCAGCATCCTCATGCAATAGTATTCCCAGGAGAATCTGTCGCATGAAGCGCAAGGTGATTTTATCCAACTCGGTGAACTGCATAATCTGTAATTTGAAACGAATTAGAAATACAGAATCGAAAATTTGATAACATTATCAAAATGTATGAAATATACCTTTAAAGTAGATATAGGCAGTCCTTTCTCTATGAACAAGTGAATGAGCAGTTTTGCTAAATTGGATATTTGCGATCCGGAATGATCCGACAATGCTTTCAGTTTATCCCAAATGGAATATTTTATTGTAATCTGAAATTAAAAAAAAAAACAGAATTGAATAAAATTACAAAGATTACTTATTATTCTAAACAATGAATTGTGAACGAAAAACTCACTTGATATTTCCTGTCAAGTTCGCAAAACTTCTGAGCTAAAACCCCGTAATACGGATTATAATTCTTCTCCTGCAGACAGCAATGTAGTAATACATTTATGATTTCTCGGTCTTGCTGATTTCTCAAACCCAGTTTCACAATTTTTTCGAAAGCATCCATATAGATTTGAAGTAAATAAACTTCAGGAAACGACGTTTAACTTTTTCAATTAATGTATTATAGCAATTGTAGAATGGAGACCATAGAACAGAGCCATATTCTAATTTTGACCTTACGTAGGCTACATAAAGAGTAAATAGAGCAGATATGTTTGAAAAAGATCTACAATTACGAACTATGAAGCCATAAACTCTCAATGCTTCACTTACTTTCGATCTAATGTGGTTGGAAAAAGACAAATTTTGATCAAAATATACACCCAGATCTTTAATTGAGTTACTTTGTGACAGTGAAATGGTATCAACACGATAATTGCACTCGATAATTGTACTATTACACTACATTTGTATGCATTGAGATATAGTTTGTTCACTTCACACCAAGTCTGTATATTTTCTAACTGTCGTTGCAATTTAGTACAGTCTTCAATAGTTTCGACAGTTAGATATATTTTCAAATCATCTGCAAAAAATAACTTATTACAATCGACATAATTACTGAGGTTATTAATAAATTATAAGCACAGAAGTGGTCCGAGATTCGACCCCTGAGGTACTCCAGATGAAGGATTGTAATAAAAAGAATCATAGCCATTACAAGATACAAACTGTTCGTGTTGAAGTGAGTAGGATTTAATGAAAAGTACTGCTGAATTATGGAAACCCACTTGGTAGAGTTTTTGTAGAAGGATCATGTTATCAAGTCGCTCAAATGCTTCAGCAAAATCAGTATATATCACATCAACTTGACCACGATTATCTAAGACATCACTAACATTTTGGGTCAATACAATTAAATTTGTTATCGTGGATCTGTTTGACATAAATCCATGTTGTTGCGGAGATATGATGTTACGAACTGAAGAATGTACGCGATTGTAGATGAAAATTTCGAGAAGTTTTGCAAAGTTCGATAGGATTGAGATAGGACGGTAATTCCGAATATCGGACGGATCTCCAGACCTAAAAATGGGACAAACTCGTGATATCTTCCACAATTCAGGAAAATTATTATTTTCAACTGCAAGATTGAAAAGTGTCAGTAAGGGATAGACCAATACACCAATGCAATCTTTCACAAAAAAGGACGGTATCTTATCAGGACCAGAAGTGAACTTATTTTTTAGTTTAAGTGCCGCAATCAAGATTTCCTGTTCGCTGATGTTTTCAAAGTTTATATTATTATAAAAACAATATGAATTTGATAAGCACGAATGCAAAGTATTTTCATCAACTGCAGAGCGTGAATATTCACTGTGAAAATAATTTGCAAAACTATATACAATTTCATCTGGAGAATCAATAGTGAAGCCATCATATTTCATCCTACCTGGAATACGGGAGGTTCTATTCTTGGAATGTACGTACGATCACAATGATTGAGGATTAGATACTACAGATTCTTCTATAAAATTTAAATAAATAATAATTCACTTACTTCTGCAGACATTATTATACAGAATATATTTCTTCTTGTATCAGTATTCATCCTCTGCTTTCTCGCCAATTCTAATAACTTAGCGGAAAATCCTTCAGAAACTGGGGCTGGTTCTGATTTTTCATTTTCCTCACTTTGATTCCCAGTCCAAGCTGAACCGACAACCCACCATCTACCCCTTTCACTAGCTGAAAATCAATAGTTTCTAGCAATAATCATTCAAAAATAGAAAATTCAACTAGTAATATTCAAATAACCATACCATTCAGAAGATCTTCCAGAGATATATTCAGCTGGGTAACATAGTTTCCTTTTCTGATGAAAGCTTTCATAACCTTTTTCATATGTTCTGAGTATGATGTATCATAGTTTGGTATTTTTGTGACATTATTGTTTTTGATTGCCAAAAGTATGTCCAGCATAAATTTTACCCGAGAGCTGAAAATGGAAAGGTACAGATAGTAATAAATTCAGATCAGAAAAAAATGAGCAGAGTACAGTACTTCACTTGACTTCACATACATTTACGGCATGTTAAGAATACAGAAATTCTTGTTCGAAGTTACAAAGATGAAATCATTTACTAAACAATAAAAGTGACAATAAAAATTGACAATAATTTAAAATTCAACAATCATGTAGATACTCTGAAATCGAAGCTCTCCTCTGGATGTTATGCCATACGAGTAACTGCATTTGAGCTCGGATCTGCAGAAGCTAGAATGGTTTATCATTCCCTTTTTGAACCACACCTCCGTTATGGTATTTGCTTTTGGGGTGTGTGTTCTACCACATGCCTTCAATCAATATTACTAATACAAAAACGTGCAATACGATGCATATGCAAAGCCAAGCCTAGGGACTCTTGTCGACCTCTTTTTGCCTCTAACAAAATCCTAACTGTGGTCTCCCTATTTATATACGAGACAATCTGCCTTGTCTTCAAAAATAGGGTATTGTTTAACAACTTGGACGCGCCAATGTATCAAACCAGGCAAAGATTCAGCTTTAAATTACCGCTGCCTTCTTCGTTGCTAGTTAAAGATTCCATTATTTACAACGGTCTTAAAATGTTCAATCACCTTCCTCAAGCTATAAGAACCATAAATGACCTTAGAGCTCTTAAGAAAGAGTTGAAAGACTTGCTCTCTGGGAGACCTTATTATAGCTTAGCAGAATTCTATGATGATAATTTTAATTGAGAAGACTAACTGTAATATCTACGGTATTTTATTGATTTCATTTCATTCAATTTAGTTTAAATTGATTTATTTACATTTGTTGACCATGTTCTTATATCCTGAACGTTTGTTATTATTTACATGTCTCTTGTTATAACCTACTTTTAGTGATTTTACTTTTGTGATTTCATGTATATGTTATTTATATTTCGCACAAGGCTTTGTCAATAAGAATTTATTCTTCAGACAATAAAGTATATTAAAAAAAAAAAAAAAGAGTGTAGGTTAACTGAAAGCACAAATATAAAATCAATTAAATTGTGATTCAATGAGTTCTGCCACGTCAATATATTCTCCAATTTGATGAAAACAGTGTTGGAGAAGAAACTCTTCGATAGTAGATTCAAATTTTGCTTAGTGACTTTGGAGACACGTGAAAGAGTTATATTTAGACATTAATTGACCACCACTGGATCACAGTGGCCCGCAAAATTTGAATATTCACATAATTCATAGTTTTCTGATTAGTAAGTGGGCTATGCTCGAAGACTGGCAGTAAACAAACAAATCAAATTCGGGCTAATGAGCCCAAAACCGGTCTGCAAGTGTACATGTTCCAAAATTGAAGGTCGATTCTTTCAGTTGTATTGCCAATTGCATATGCAGGACATTTTCTGTAAAGATTCCTGCACTGACGCCTGTCGGATATAATCCAACGCCCTTCATGGTATTAGCCAGGGGAATAGTTGTTTTCTGATAGGCGTCACTCCATTCAACCTACTGTGTAGGTTTATTTGAGACTGGCTTGAACGTTCAAAGTTCATTTCTTTAGATTTAATTTATAGTTGTCAACACAAGCCAAATTTATTCTACCAGGTGAGCTTATTACTACTACTGTATTACTGCTGAATTATTTTTTTTTGTAATACACTTGAACTTTGTTTTTATTTGTTAGCTCTATATCTGACTTATGGTTTTTTTTTCAATTACTCTCCTAGTTCGCTGCACACAAGTTTTCCACCTGATTTTTTGCTTAACTCTCCTAAATATTTACTTTATTTTGTTTTTTGTTTACTCGCTTCAGGTGTTTCTAGTTGATAAATCAGTATTGTATTCATGTATATGTGTATGTATGTATATATGTGTGTATTGTGTGTATATAGGCAGATATAAAACTGTAACATGCTTGTTAATAATATTAATATGTCTTGTTATTGGGATTTATTCCTGTTCAGAAATTAAACAATTTTTTTTTAAACACAGATACTTACTTATCCCTCTCTTCCTCTGAAACATTAGCAGCTTGGTTCTGGATATCTAAAATGAGATTTTTCAAAGCCAAAGGATCCTCTTTCCTCAGGGTAAATCCAACACTTTTCAGAATATGCAGAATACACTCAACATCCTTTTCCTTGAATTTACCGACAAACTTCTTAAGAATATCGTAGATGAGTTTGGAATCGAAGAGTTTGAAATTGTATAGTTGTGCGATTATACAAACGATATTATCTAATTTTTTGTTCTCCACTTCTTGTTCCGAAGTGAAGAACTCGTCAAATTTTTGCACGATATACTGCAAGAAATGGGCCCCTGGAAACAGAAAACTAAATTACAGAATTGAACTGATGATGATGCAACAAACATTTTAGTTTGCGACCAAAAAAAAACTTAACTTCAAAATTGTCTCCCATAAATGATTCCCCGTGAATTAAAGGTTTGAAAGGGCGAGAGAAAGTGAAATTGTGAAATTATGATATTACTGCAATTACAGAGACAAAATACAAGACTTCAGTGAAGAAAAATAGATAAATATGAAGATGTATAGGTATGATTGACACTAATTACAAAAATAGCTTATTATACCAACTCCTAGCGTACTGTGAAGAATTTTTATGAAGAGTTGTTTGAGGCCGTGGTATTCACAACAGTCTGCATTTCGTGTGTTATGTTTGTGTTCAGATACATTTCTGATAAATGTTGACAAGTTGGGTCTGGCGAACACAATACATTTCAAAATGGAAATGGAGACAACCAACAACAATTTTATTCACTAAAAATGGGTCGACAGATGTCCCAATCACCTAAGTTGATAATCAGTCTTAGAATCCTGTTTTGAGCCACAAGTACTCTAGGTAGATCTTCAAATTGAGATGAAAATAAACTATAGCATAAAAATTACTAAGAAGACCATATTCATTCAAAAAGGAGTTCATGTGTTTCATGACAAAACAAAATTCACTTAAATTGGCTCTAATATGATTTACCTGTCTTTTCCAGTTCAAATTAGCATCCAAATGAGTGCCCAAGAATTTTTGCCTCTGCAGACACCTGAGTATTTTCAAATTTGAGTACGTACTTAAGTACTAAAGTCATCAATAACAGTTCTTAAGCTGAGGCCAGAAATGTTTATAGTATATTGGGGTGCATTATTCACATATATCAGAAACAGTAAGGGTCCAAAAACTGAACCCTGTGGCACACCAAATTTCACAGCCTACGAAGCAGACACTGAGTTATTACATGAAATAATAATTCTTCTACCTGTCATATAAGATTTTACGAGGAAAATATAAGTTTTTTTTCAGAGGGACTTCAACATCAACCGCATTGAATGCCTTGAAATCTCAAAATACTGGGGTTAAGTTTGAAAATTCTCAATCATTATTATCACTTACCGACTTCTGTACCAACATTAGCATGCAGTATGGCGATGAGAACAATATGTTCAATCAACAGCCGTTCAGGTGACATCACAGATGACACGAGAGATTCCATTATCAAAAGAGTCAACGTATCATTCATGTCATTTCTACTGTTATTCATATACAGTTCTTCTATTTGTGTTGATATATGGTGCATGTTGCTTTCTGCTAATCTGTTTATGTATCCTGTAAGTAATCCAGTTAATAAAAAAAAAATTTTGTTGAAAAACAACTCCCACCTTTCAATTGTCTTTTCAATCTAGTTAGTTTCTCTTTTCTCTTTTTATCTTCTGGATCAGCACCGTTGAGTTTTTCTCTCATCGCAGGAGGAATATATTTCGATTGGTTCTTGAAAAAATTAAAGAATGTTTTCAATCTTGAAACACATACTCTTTCAACTAGCAAGCTGTATATAATAGACAATTACTATTTGGACTTACATTTGTTATAACTGATCCGTCTTTACCCCTTTTTCGACCATAAATGTCTTCCCAGGTTCCATCATCAAATGTTCTAGCAACACCTTTCTTCACTTCTCCTTCTCCATCATCATCATCATCAGACCCATCATCTCCATCGGACCAACCATCATCTCCTGAATTGTTAAGAGTTTCATCAGCAATATCAGAACAGTTCTCATCACTTCCCGCTTTTTCAGTTTCAGAATCAGAGCACTCCAACTTCAATTTTTTCTTTTTTTTATTCAATTCAATATGCTTTCTTTTTTTAGATATCAAAGGCTTTTTTTCAACTTCATCATCTTCAGAATAGTTCTTATCATTTCCCAATTTTTGTTCAGTTTCAGAATCAGAGCACTCCAACTTTAGTTTCTTCTTTTTTTTATTCATTTCGATATGCTTTCTTTTTTTAGACTTCGAAGGCTTTTCTTCAACTTCATCACCTACAGTCTCCTCCTCTAGAATTTCCTCACTATCACTGTTTAAGAAGAACTCCTCATCATCTGACTCATCTGAAAAATCATCCTCTCTGAAATTGCCATTCTTCTGGTCCTTCTCTATTTCTTGTTCTGAATCAAAATCACTGTATTCTTCATCAGATATCACAGGTTGTTGGGATGACTGTTTTGTCATCAACTCAAAATCTTCATCAAAATCATCATTAGCTTCATTAATATCATGATCTGCTGCCGCTGCATTTTTCATTAATTCTGGATCGAAAACTTCTGAAATATCTGAAAACAAGCTTTAATGATTACTTACTTTTTATTGGGTATAAATATTCTCGGTATTTTTTGGTTGTAAAAATAGATTTCATATCTTTAATAAATCAATTTCACCAGTTCACGATTACAAAACTATAATAATTTCAAAGAAAATATATATTGAAGATGTAAATTTAGATTAATGAATGAACCTAAGTATTTTTAAAAGAAATTGAAGCTAGTAAAGAGTATGTCCTCCTTTATATTTTCTGGGCATATTTAAAATTAAATTGTCCAGGCCCCTTTGAGGTAGCGCCTGCCAGGCGGCTTGGATGGCTTCAAACAGCTCGGACGATTCTGAAAGTTTCCACGGCTACTCAATACCCTTACTTGGAGCATATTCCATGCATGCCCCAATGGGTCAAGATCTGGTGATTGGAACTGGTTTTCCAATAACCCAACATGTGGTCGTGCATTATTGTGTATCAAGATAAAACTGTCACCAACTGCTCTAACATTTTGAAGAACAACAGGTTGGAGTATTTGGGGAACACTAAATTAGTCACGACAGTTATTGCGATAAAAGATTTAGCTCATAAAATAAAAATACATATCCCTTAAACGATGACAGATTTCAACAATTCGTCCAACTTACAATCGAACCCATCCTCCATCATGAATTTTGGAATCGATTTTGCTTTCTTCTTTTTTAATCCTAACTGCTTTTCCATTTTTTTAATAATCCGGTCCTCTTCTTCTATATGCAACAACTGTTGTTTTTTTCTTTGTTTCGCCATTTCCTTTTGGATCCTTTCCATTTCTTTTTTCCTGGACTGTACTACTGTTGTTTCCTAAAAGAATTAGAGACAATTAACATGCTTTAAAATTTATAAGTTACATCCCCAAAGGCATTTATCTGGCCAACTTACATTTATCTGGTTTGCCGAAACATCATTCCTGAATTTTCTTTTTTGTTCTGGAGGCTTTTCATCAATTAATTGATTAGATTTTTCATTCTGAATGGAAGTCCTTTCAGGGTTTGGAACAAGAGCACCAGGAATCTTCTTTTTTGAGTAGAATTCATTACGTCTGGCTTTCTTATCTTTTCGCATTTCTTTGCGCTGTTGTTTCCGTGTTAATTTTTTCAATGTTGGCTTTTTCTTATTTTTAAATGCCATTTCGAGTTTCAAATACAAAACAAAATGCTAAAAATTAACCTACAATATGAGAAAAACAACAAAGTAACATAACCACACTTCCACGCTTCAAACTAAATTCAACAGTGTTGTCACGTTGTCAACATTAGGCATGTTTCTTTTGCCAACATTAAAATTTCATGAAAAATTATAGGTACACTCAAATTGCCATAATTTAACTCAGTGTTCTATAATTGAAACAAAAGTTAGAGGTAATTATTTCACTTTTATGATTTGATTATAAAAAAAAGTTGTATGAAATTTTTGAATGTTCGCATCATATGATTTTACCAGAAACGACAATTTTGTAACAGATAGTTTCAACTTCTCAAATTGAAATTCGTAAGGCAGTGATTCCTATTTTAGAAACTCTTGAAAGTCAGTAATTGTAGGTTTATAGATCATATCGTGTTTGTATGTTTATATGTTGGTCACTCTGTATATTCTTTACTTAGTACCAGTAGTCGTCTGTTGATATTTGAATTGATGATCGCAGTAGGATTTGCCAACATCGTTGGCACTTTTGACACTTTTGATATTTTCCAGGTAATTTTTCAAGGAAATTTCCATTCGAAACAGTTTGATTTTTATTTTCGAATATTTTAGTAGTAGGTAGTGGTCATAATCATATGAAGTTTGATGAAGAAGACTTCAAAAATTTGGCCCCTATAAGTATTTTTGTCCATTTTCATAAAAAAAATCCCTGTACCAAAAATCAACCGCTCACAAGATATGTAGTTCAGTTGTTCTGGAAAAAATAAATCATGCGCATGTCCACCTTGAAACTATGGGCTACGAAACCTCCCGTTCGAACAGTTACAACAGTTTATTAGAGCTATTAATTTGCCTTCATGGTTTTCATTGAAGACAGATTTTCAGATTGATAAACATTTTTTTAAATGTTCAACTCTTTTCACCAAATTGTTATTTACAGCACGATTGATTTCATCGGCATATAGGGTATTGGATGAAATTTTCTATTTAACATTTATGAGTACTTCATCGTTCAATACAATAGAAATGCTATGGAAACAAATGAAGATAGTTGTTCATTTATTGATGTTGTCATTTGTATAAGTATATTTTAAGAATTCATGAGCGAAATGTCACGTTTAGGTTAAAGGAACAAATATCTTTTAAATTTGATTATCTATGGTGAATGTAATCGAATTATCGAGCGGACATGCAAGTTACTTGCCGAAAGGTATCCGGAAATACTCAAACTATAAAAAGGCTGTTGAAAAATTCTTTTCTATCAACAGGGACTTCCGCACAGAATGGGTGTTCTGTTCGGGCAACGTACCGCGCGCTTCACCCATTTTATGATCGCCATAATCGCACTACCGAGAGGACTATTCACAATATGGTTGATAGATTTGAGACCACTGGTTCAGTAAACGATAGACCAACACCCGTACGTGGACGAAACGCAAGATCTACCGAAAACTTCGCCGCTGTCTGTTAGAGTGTGTAGGAGAATTCGAGTGAAACGATTTCGCGTCACTTGACGGATTTTGTGTCGTGACTTGAGCCTGCACCCGTAACAAATTCAAGTGACCCAGGAACTGCGCAGGTGAACAACCATAGACAACGACGTGTGTTCGCTGAATGGGCTCTGAAGTAGTTGGTAACTGACCCTAATTTTCATCGAAAAATCATCTCCAGCGATGAGACCCATTTCAAACAATCCGATACCACTCCACAGAGGAGATCCAAGAGCGTCCAGTGCATCCCAAAAAAGTCACTAGTGTGAATTTTGGGCTTGCGACGTCATCGGTCCGTATTTCTTCGAGAACGACGTTGGCCGGGCCATCGCTGTCGAAGCCGAGCACTATACGTTTAGGTCGATAATTACCAACTTCTTTTGGCCTGAATTGGATGATCTGGACACCAACGACATGTGATTTCAACAGGAGAGCGCTACGTGGCACACATCTCCTGCCACATTGGATATTCTGCACGAGTGATTTGAGGGCATGGTCATCTCACGTGTAGGTGATCTGAACTGATCGTGCGATCTGACTCGATTAGACTTTGCCATGTGGGATTTTTTTTGAGACGGTAGTGTATGCATATGAGTCACATACCACAGTGGTCCTCAAAGTCAACATAACCCATGCAATCGGTCAAATTCAGCCGAATTTATGCGCCAGAGCCATGAAAAGTTGGACGTTTCCAATGCGCTCCACTCAGAGAAGCTGTGGCGGACATTCAAATGACGTTTTATTCCACACATAATGTCATCAATAGGTCTTTCAAACGTGTGAAAAATTTCGATGACATCTCACACATACAATTTGTTTTACGCAAATTTAAAGATAGGAAGCGCTTAATGAAAGAATCTGTACTATGTTGTGTAGCAATCCTGTGGATGATATCTGATTCAATTCCATGACGAACGTTTGGAGTATAAACTGAATACGAAAATGTGTTTTTCGTATAATTCAATGTTCATACGGAAGTAGTTGTTACGAGAGGGTTTTTCCTTACAGTTTGTGTCTGAAAGTTACCTATTTGCATGATTTCTACCTTTCTGTAAATAGTTTATAGAAGTATAGAAGTTTATAGAAGTAAAAGGCCAAACATTTCTTGCCCAAATGTACTTTATCCACCGCCATCACTCGAAATTTCGAATTCAACTTCGAAATTTCGATTTGAAACTCGACATTTCATTGTTATTATCCAAATTTCAACAAATCATAAAAATATGTGGCTTTTAAGCTCTTCCGTACTATTCCAGGTACTATGCAGAGATCGTTGATGAAATTTAGTAAGATAGTGGAATGTATTCATTTCATTGATATGACATCAGCTCAAGAGCTGATTTTACATATATAAAGAATTTTATAGCTCATAATCACTGCACATAATTATTATAATAATATAATAAACACAAGCACCACAGGAAAATCCTTAAGGCGCTCTCAGAGCGGTGCCTGTGCGAAAGTAGCAGATGGTAGATGCTAGTCCCACCCAGCATCGCCCGGTGAGATACCATCGCAACGTCTTGGACAGCGTGAGTTGCTTTCGGGCTAACATTTCGTTGATGGGCCGATGTTTCCGGTTTCAAGGGTGGGAATATGTAATACCCACCGATATATTATGTGTGTATTGTATTCATTATTCATATATGGTTCTATCTATTATTATTGAATATACCTACCGTTTTCAGAGTAATAAATGCTCATTTCTGATTCACTTATTTTCTGTCACCAGATGCAGATTTCTCCGCATCAAATTTTGAATATCAGGGCAGGTCCGAAAGATTTGTAGGGTTCGTGCCGAACGCACGAGGCCCGTCCTTTGGAAACCTAGGTACACCGTGTACCTTTCTGAGATTGTTTTCCTTCTAAGTTCCACTCCGGAACGAGACAGGATACTAATACTTAAGGCTGAAAACCTTTCAGTTATCCTAAATAGTGAGCTATTAAAAACAACAAGAGCTCCAGATTAGGCTTATATTACAAAGCAATAACTGTGTGAAAATATAACATGAAAGTCCAACAAAACAATAAAAAGATGTTCGAAAAGTATGATCAAAATTTTACAAGAAAGCACGTCACAAATAGCTGATTGTCAAATAAAAATTATCTCTTTATCAACTTGTGTAACGTTATATATTCTCTCATAAGGTAGAATTCCAACTTACACGAAAACCTTAATTAGTCTATTCAAGTTTTGCGGAAATTCTAATATGATCATTTGAAATTGCCTGGCTTCAAACCCGAGTGTACTAATTTGCAGATATTTACACATATGAAAGGGGTGTAGTGTAATTTATTGCCCTTCTTATATCGTCCCCAAGACGCAACAACAATAAGACAATTATTACAAAACTGAAATGACATCCTCTCTCTCTATACCGACATGGGGGTTAGTAAAAAATCCAAATTGACTCACGATACTATACTGGGTTCTGTTCACCCTCTCTGGTACGGTATCCATGTGAAATACACATCCGTTGTAAGTGCCACCAAACGCAACACCACAATTAACTCATTACCCGCAATTTACCGAAATTCCACTATCGCAAAATCCTGTTTCGGAAAGTCCCTTCTCGCGACACTCTTCCGCAACTGTCTTTCGCAACTCCCTTTCACGGCTCTCCCAAATGAATCTTTCGATCGCAAAGGAATCTTCCCGCAACAGCTCTATCCCCTTTCGCAATATCCCCTTCCGCAATATCCCTTTTCGCAACCCTCTTCCGCAACTGTCCGATCGCCACTCTGTTTCGCGACCTTTTTTCGCAATAGCCCGATCGCCACTCTCCCCGATCGCTCTTGTTCCAATTAACCAACTAATTGGTATTCCCAAGTCCTAAAAACTGTCCCTAACACTCCTCCTTTTTACCGTCCCCTGATGGGTCTGATCTTTGTTTAATATTCCCGAATTTTTCCATAACCATAACTCAAGACCTATATCTTCTTTTCATTGGAGTCATTGGTCAGTTTTTATCATAAATAAATTTTCGGACCCACCTATTCAGATATGGCCGAACTTCCTGTCCACGAAGCTGTAATGCAAACTCATAGCTTGGATTTTTCACGTTCCCAGTATTATTACTTATCAATAGGATACGTTTGTTATGTCTACTTCGAAGGAAACATTAACCATTCATGATGCCGCCAAAGATCACCAACCATAAATTAAATTCAACGCCTACTCTGTTGGACAAATATCGATATCGAAAAACCGGGTGACCGACCTCGATCTTTATGAATAAAATTATATTTTTCGTTAACTATCACAATGGCAGTTATATCGATTTCTGAAACATCAGAGGACTCAACTCAAATATAAACTCAGTGTACCAACATTTGCAAAAAAAATAGTCCTCATATTCTTGCACTCACAGAAACCAAAGTCAGTGCTTCAACAAACCCCGTCAATTTTCTACATCCCGGCTATGATTTCCACTCCCGATTCAGACGTAACTTTGGAATATCTTTTTTTAACAAAATCGATCTCTCCTGTCAACGAGAGGAAATGCTGGAACTCCGAAACTTTAATGTTATGTGGTTCGAAATAATATCACAGAAGATCACCAAATTCATATGCTGCGTCTATCGAC